CCACATGCTCCGAGCTGGTGTGTGCTAGCCCACTCGGCCACCGATCCTCTTCTGAGGTATACTGCTAGCCCAAATCCAAGCATTCACCGATCGCCCTCTAGCCGCGGATATAAACAGATACAAACAGACGACCAAACCTTGTCAGGTGATTGGCTGATCGACCTCGGTTGGCTGATCAACCTCATTTGTCATGGCCAGCCATCATTTCGGTCCATTCAAGTCTTGGAAGCTTCGAAAGGGTCGCTCGGAACCAGTCGCCCGAAGGTCGCCATAAAGAGTCATTTTACTGAAAGAGTTCCTCGTATTTCCAGACAAGAAGATTATTTTTAATGCCGCCAAGCACCGACGCCGCGTGTGGTGGCGGTGCAAAGATGAGCGCTTCTTTCGCCGGTGAGACGTTAACAAAATCTCGGTATTCAAGATATGCCTTTACAAACATGCCTGTCACCAGTAATAGACATATTGCTGTATTACCCCAGCATCAAAGAGAATGCAGGGATTGGTGTTCCACGCGTCGCACGTGCTGGCCTCAGCAGTAGTAACCTTTCCAAAGCAAATACCTAAAACAAATGGCATCTTGCACGCGCGTTCGTCAACGCTTTATTTCAGTTATTTACTTCGAATCTTTTATACGGGGAAGGCGTGCGCGTGTGGCGCGTGGAACGCCGATTCCTGCATTCTCCTTGATGCTTGGGTAATATAGGAAGTATTCACTGGCGGCCATAGCTGTGTGCACGACTGCTGAGCGCGTGCTGATGGCGAGCTTCCACATTTCTTTTGGAACGTGCATTCCGCACCCTCAAGATTGCCGGTCTCAGCAGCCTATTAATATGGGCTCGTTGGCAGAGCATGCGCTCTAGACATCACCCACAAATATGGCGCCCAGTGAATACTCCTTATAGCAAATGGTCTCTTCGGATCGACTCACCAAGAACGGAGAAGTCAAGGAGAAACTACTCATTCCGTGAATCAAAATGGCGACCATAAAGGCTGCATGGCGCTACCTTCCCTTCCAGGATCAAGTAACTTGAGCGCAGCCCAATCCCGTTTCACACAACGAGCTCTTATAAAACTCACGCTTCACTTTTCTTTCAAGTCAACCATTTTTCCGGGAACGCGCGAGACACGTTCCCCGAGCAAGTACTCGGCCGCCACTCGCCAAGCCGCCATTTGCTTCCAAAGCCCGCACGGGTCTCGTGCACTGGCACATTTGACGCTACTTGTAAGACAAACACGAATACAACAAGGTGCATTCGTTTCACATGGTGCGATACGCAATCCTGCTTGTGAATTTCGGCTCCAACATCGCCCGTGCGAAAAAAAAAGAAGGAAAGATTTGGAGGGACGTTAAACTTCCTTGGCAGTGATTTTGCTTACCATCAATTGCGCCAAGCAACGACGCCCACCACCGAAGCCAGGGAGGAGGGGGCTTATGGAGTTTCAAGGCCCAGCTAACTCCTCCCCCCCCCCCCCCCCCCTCCCCCTTCCCGAAAAAAGATACTGCGCCACTGACTACGCCTTCTGCAGCTCTTGGAAGCAAAAATAGAGCACTCATTTGTAGCACATGCACAGTACGTTGTAGGCACGTGTTTCGCGAGTTCGCACAATGGTTGCTGGTACCAGTGATGGAAGCGGCATTTTACTTTTTGCAGCAAGCAAACTATTGGGTTGCAGCAGCCATGCTTACGCTTTTGGAGCAGCTCTGTTCGCTAATCACTTGAAAATTAAAAAGCGATTGCATCCCTAAATGGAACACAGACTTTTTTTTTTTTAGAAATAAGGTTTAGGTCAGACAAAGTTTCATTTACAATGGGTATTACAAAAGAAAAATAATGAACAAAAATGAAGCATAGTGCTACACTTTCACTAAGATAAATCCTCTCTGCTTTTCTTCTTTGTTACACTCCGTAGCTCCTTTTTTTTCTCTCTTTTTTACTCCGTAGCTTATTTAGCCTGTAGGTATTATTCATTGCTCCAAAATGCCACCCAAAACCAGCATATCCGCTAAAACGTCAACTAATAAAAATATGTCCCCTCCAAGCTTTCTGAACCTACCAAACTAAAAATTCTGATATCATACACTGCAAAAACGACCTCCCACAAATATTACGAAAACCTACATACAGTCGTAAATTAAAGAGTGGCACTCCGCTTTGGCGGCGCTGAAACCACAGTCGAGTCAAAGCTCGCTGCTCCTTCGATTGACTGCTGCGCGGGAAACCTTGACTACCGTAATGACACAAAAGACAGACCCGCGTTTCTTTCTCCTCTTTCGGCACTGTTTTCTAAAATTAGAGGTCAACCTAAAGACAACATTAAAGAAGGCCAACCTGTAATAGCGCTGAGCGTAATGTTGTTCGAGTCAACCGCGCCAACTCAGGCGCCACCCCCTGCCGGCTGCTGCTCCTAGCGCTTGGGTGCAAAGCGGTGAAGCTCGACGCACAGGCGCGCTGGTGTGAGGCGGTGAAGGAGACGGACGCATTTTCCGCTGAGCGGCGTCTATCGTCGATCTTCAGAGTGTTTGCCACTGGCAATGATGTGATAGGCCCGAGTAATTTTGTAGCACTCTTTTGGAGCCTCAAAAGTCCCTCTTGAAGCAGAAAAAATTACCTTTTTGTGAGGACGAACATATGCTTAACTCTGCTTCATTGGACTCCGAATAAGTATATGCTACGACTCAAGTGACGACCTGCCTGACTAAAATACAATGCCTTCTTTTGGTGAGGTTAGCATTCGTTTCAGAGCGGCGTTTGATTCAATCAAACACTCAACTGTATACTAGCTGTTGCGTGTGCCTAAAAACGCCAGACAGGGCAGCAAGGATGTTCCGACGAGAGTTATCCTGTTCGTTGAACAATGCTCCGCTGGAGCAGCCGCTTTTGAAACGCATGCTAATCGGTGAAGGACAGAGCACGAACATCTGCGAGTCGCAACTTTGGGTATAAAATCAAAGGCAAATCAAATGATGTTACACTAGTTGAAATAATGCTAGAATATATTAGTTCGAGCACGAAATTTAAACTTTTTGCCCGAATTTCGAAGGTTACAGAAAAGCTACAATTAGTATTGCCGCGCGCGCAGCTGGCCAAGTAGGCAGCGCGCGCGTGGCCTAACGTTTATCGCGCTTGCCTTCCACGCAGAAGGCCAGGGTTCGAATACTGGCTGCGGCTACACATTTTTGTTGACACTGTAATGTGATGTTCTGGTGAATTCGAGAACCGTCTTGCTGATTCGAGGTTAGAATGTTCTACGCGCCGAACCTTCTACGCCGAACGATCCAGAAACCCACGAGGGTACATAAGGGAATCCGCCAGGCGAGCGGAGTCAGTCTCGCCCCAGCGCTCGATCCTGCGGTTTCGCCGACTTCGACGTCCGCGACGCTCAGTTATTATTCTTTGTACCCCTTTTATGTTTGGCACAAGTTCGCCACATTAAACGTTTATTTCTTTCTGTTTATTTATTGTTTTTTGGTCACTACCCGTGACATTTTGGTGCAGGCGTGGGGTACCGCATGCCCGTGCAGCGTTCCCCTCCCAGGGACCGCAGTGCAAGCCCGATTCCGACCCGGTGAGAAGACCACTCGACGCGGAACCTGAAACTCGGACCAGTCGCCGCACCCAAGGTCTACACCCGGAATAGGGTCTTCTGCCACCCAGGACCAAGCAGCCAACGAAGCCGACGATGGACGGCCAGCAATCGCAGTCCCCGACCGCCGCCGCCGTCATCTACCTGCCTGTTGCCCAGCGAACCCCGACGACCTTCCATGGCGAGACCCACGAAGACGTAGAGGACTGGCTTCTGCACTACGAACGTGTAGGACACCATAATGAATGGACCACTGAGCAGCGCCTCCAAAACCTCTACTTCTCCTTGGAGGGCACCGCAAGGCAGTGGTTCGAGAACCACGAGGCGTCGCTTACGTCGTGGGACACCTGTATCGCCGGCCTGAAGGAGACATTCACGAACCAGACACGACGACAGCGAGCGGAAGACCTCCTTCAAGTACGAACTCAAGGGCCCAACGAAACGGTCACCAGCTTCGTTGAAGACGTCCTCCGCCTGAGCAGCCGCGCCGACCCTCAGTCCACCGAGGAGAAGAAGCTGCGCGTCCTGATGAGAGGAGTGAGGAGTGACATCTTCGGTGGCCTTGTTCGTAACCCACCAACTACTATGGATGAATTCATCGCCGAGGCAACTAACATCGAGCAGGCCCTGTCAATCCGTGCCACCCACTACAACCGACTCGCCGGCACGCCTCCTGCTTCGACGCTGACGTCTTCCCTATTCGACGAAGGCGGTCTGCGCGGGCCGCTGGACTGCCTGCTGCGCGGGCAGTCCAGCGGCCCGCGCAGCAGGGCTAACACTGCACTTTTTTGTCAGGACACAACGCACGGCCCGTTCCTGTCTGATCGTCACAGGCAAGTGCTGACGTGGCCCATCTCTGCCAACACAGCGTGACTCGCCGATTATGGAGGGCACGGCCAACACCCATGTGACCCACCGCAACGACATCTGCAGACATTCAAGGCATATAAGCGGCTATCCAGCGACGGAACGGCGCAGTCCAGCGGCCCGCGCAGCAGGGCTAACACTGCACTTTTTTGTCAGGACACAACGCACGGCCCGTTCCTGTCTGATCGTCACAGGCAAGTGCTGACGTGGCCCATCTCTGCCAACACAGCGTGACTCGCCGATTATGGAGGGCACGGCCAACACCCATGTGACCCACCGCAACGACATCTGCTGACATTCAAGGCATATAAGCGGCTACCCAGCGACGGAACGGCGCAGTCCAGCGGCCCGCGCAGCAGGGCTAACACTGCACTTTTTTGTCAGGTATGTAGAAGTGGCATGAATGTTTCTATGGCCTTATTTATGTAACCGTTGGACTGCACAACTACAGCAAACTGTTTTACTATTGTTGTTTTCTTTTCATTACTTGTTTATGCATATTTGTTGTAATTCATAGTCGGAGAGGGCATTATAGGCGAAACCTAAAAATGGACACGCTCCCGGTACTGTCCGCTATTGAAGAACTAAAGAAGGAACTAAAATCTGAAATTGCTGAGCTAAAAGAGAGCACAGATTTCTGTTCGAAGTCAGTCGACGAGTTCAAGACTGCCCTGAACGAGTTAAAAAGTTTCAAGGCACAACTAGGCCAACTGAATGCTGCAAATGAGCAGTTGAGGAGTGAGAATAAAGAACAGCGCAGCAGCCTAGAAGATTCAGTGAACCGAATTGCTGAATTGGAACAATACAGCAGGCTAAAGAACTTGGAAATAAAGGGCGTCCCTGTCAACACCAACGAAAACGTGCAGGATGTCATAAAACAGATAACCGAAACACTGTCGGTTCCTCTCGAGATGCAAGACGTAGACGTTTGTCATAGGGTACCGACTAAACAGCCCAGTCAACAGCACATAGTTGTGCAGTTTACAACACGCCAAAAGAGAGACGCGGTCTTGTACGCGGCCAAGAAGAAGCGACTAACCACTGGAATGATCGGCATCCCCGGACAAACGTCTCTTATATTTGTTAATGAGCATCTCACCCTGTCGAACAAGCTGCTCCTAAGTGAAACAATCAAGGCAAAGAAAGGCAAAAGTAGGAAGTTTGTGTGGACGAAGAATGGAAAAGTGTACGCCAGGAAAACCGAAAACTCTAGGGTCGTAAACATACAAAACATGTCAGACATAGAAAAAATCGTGTAAACTATCATGGCAGAAACACAATTCACCATTCCTGAACCGGAGGTTTCCTGCAACTATTATACCGCTGATACCTTTAACAAACTTGATGTGGTTGCCAAACCTGGCTTTTCGGTTTTTCATATGAACGCAAGGAGCCTGCAAAATAAAATAGATGACATAGAAATATTTCTTACACCTTTAAACACAAATTCTGATGTGTTGATGTTCACAGAAACATGGTATTCAGCCAAGGCATCACCAATACAATTTCCAGAATATACGTGCTTGCATATTGATAGAACTAGCAAATCTGGAGGTGGCGTAGCTATCTATCACAAATATGCACTTTCAATGACTGTAATCGAGAGTTGCTCGGTAATAACTACTGATGTTGAATGCCTTGTTGCCCATACCGTGACACTTTTTTTGTAGTGTTATACCGCCCCCATCCGGAAATTTCGGAAAGTTTTGCTCCTACCTTGAATCTACTAACAAACCTCTTGTATAAAAACGAAAATATTGTAATAATGGGAGACATCAACATCGATCTACTTTGTGATACAACTAATCAGCAGCAATTCCACGACCTAATACAGTCCTACGGCTGTGCGAACTTGATAAGTATTCCAACAAGAGTGACGTCACGGAGTAGCACCCTTATCGATGTCTGCATTACAAATGTAAACCCACTGGACGCCGTTCCTGGGGTGTTCTTGGCGGATATGAGTGACCATTTCCCTTTGTTCTGCTTCCTTTCGCACCTTAAACCCTCCCGCAGTTTACCGCAATCAAGTATTAATTTTTTTCAAAAAATTGATCACCACAGTTTAGAAACATTTATAATCTAATATCTGAAGCAAACTGGGAAGACGTGATGTCTTGTCAAAATGTCGAAGAATCTTATGCTGTTTTCCTTGCAGAACTGCAAAAGTGCTATGACGCAGCATTTCTTTTACACAAATTTAGAGTGAGACGCAAAAAATGCAGAAAACCATGGTTGTCGAATGACTTGGTAAAACGTATAAATAAAAAAAATAGGATCTTTCAAAAATTTCAGAAGACTCGCGATAACAGCATATTTAAAGAATATAAGCAGTACAGGAATGCACTGAACCGGGACATTAAGAAGGCGAAAGCGCAGTATCATATTAGTAAATTCGACAATCTTCGAAATGATCCAAAACGTACCTGGAGTGCCCTAAAATCTATTATAATGCCAAATTCTAAGTCTGCCACTATAAATGAACTGCGAATGGGGTCCGATGTCTACAGAGGACGTGACATGGCTAATGCAATAAATTAATATTTTATAAACGTTGGTGCCCACAATGGTCAAAATACTACCGGACCTGAGACCCTCGCGCAAACGCACCTGAAGCATACAATTATGCGATATCCTGTTACTTCCACTGAAGTTGAAGCGATAATAAGGACTTTGAAAAATAAGGGCTCCTGTGGAGATGATAATATCAAAGTTGCACCAATTAAACACGTGTCTTCCTTGATAAGTGAGCCACTAGAACACATAGCAAACCTTATGTTTGAAAGTGGTACTTTCCCAAGTCCGTTAAGAACTGCGAGAGTAACTGTAATACATAAAAGTGGCGACAAAGATAACATCAGTAACTATCGTCCGATTTCTATACTCCCAATTCTATCCAAGGTTTTTGAAAATCTAATAAATAACAGAATACGAAATTTTCTAACATCTTTCTCGGCACTCTCGCCAGCACAGTACGGGTTTCAAAAAGGCAAATCAACTGAGCATGCACTATTGCACATCAAAGATAAGATTCTAAATAATTTTGAAAACAAGTTGCTTACACTTGGAGTATACTTGGATTTCCGAAAAGCGTTCGATAGCATCAATCATGACGTCTTATTACACAAACTGCCTCACTATGGCATTAGGGGAAAGGCCCTAGATTTAATAAGTAGCTTTCTGCAAAATCGCGAACAATATGTACAAATCAATGGTATTTGCTCCGACCACATGACACTTAAGTATGGGGTTCCGCAGGGTTCCATTTCAGGACCGTTACTTTTTATTATCTACCTTAACGACATAGTCAACATCGCAAACTCTCCAAGTTTAATTATGTACGCAGATGATACCAGTCTCTTTTTTTCTGGCACTACTATTGACGTCATTGAACGCGATGCAAATAATTATTTACAAACTTTAAACAGCTGGCTGGAGGCAAATAAAATGCAACTAAACACTAAGAAGACAAAATATATGCTATTCAGGGCAAAGAATAAAAAGATTGCCAGACAACCATGCTTGAAAATAAATGACTGCACTATAGAACAAATATCTGACTGCAAGTTTTTAGGTGTATGGTTCAATGACCAATTATCTTGGACTACACAGACCATGAACATCAAGAAAGAGTTATCTAGAGCTATAGGAGCCATTTATAAAACAAGGGATATCTTGCCTACCTGGCGAAAAGTACAACTATATTATACTTTGTTTCATCAAAAACTGTATTATTGCTTCCTATTATGGGGTACCACTTGCAAAACAAACTATAATGGGCTCATTCGTTTACAACAACGCATAATACGAATTGTAGCCAGCGCAAAATACGATAGCAATGCTAATGAATTACTTGAAAAACTTAACATCTTACCGCTCAATAGGCTATACCACTATAAACTTGGACAGCTAGTTCATGCAAAAGGAATAAATACCTTTGATTTAATTCCCTCAAATCTAACGGACTACAACCTAAGGGCAAAGTCAGCTTACAAACTACCACGAACTAGAACGAATTACGGCAATTAAAAGATCAACTTCCAAATACCCCAGCTCTTAAACGCTCTAGGCAACAACGTATTGCTTGCCGGCACCACAGGGGCTTTTAAAAAACAGCTTCGCTTCTTCTTGGTCGAACATGAGATACGTATTGTGTAAATATAAATATACTAATAGTTTTTACTTTTGCCTGCATGTTTTTATTGTTTTAAAGGTGAATTATGGGCAAGGAGTTTTTTTCCTGACCATTTTTTATTTGTCACTGTTTTAGATTGTCTTTTTGACTGACGACCGTAAAATATATGGTACTTTTTAATCGTGGAATGCTTTCCATACACAAGCATTATACTTATTTTTTTACACTATGTACTTTGTACTATGTAATTCATGCGTATACTCATTTTTACATAGTATACTTTATAGGCCATTTTTTTTTTTTTGCTGTCTTATTTCCATATTGTGTTTCTTCTCTATCACTCCCTAACAATGTCTAATGGCGGGCGGTGCGATTTATTGTGCTTCCTGGTGTTGTTTGTACGCATATGTATTTTTTTTTTTTTTTGCCTTGTATGATGTCTGGGTGTTATCACGATGTTGTGTTACTGTGGGTTTCTGCATGCGCGGATTCTTTTTTTTTATGTTTTTTTTTTGCTTTTTTTGTATTTGCCGCTGGATTTTGCCGTCCTTACCGGCCGCTGGCACCTCGTCAGGCAACCTGTTTGCCTTTTGTGCCAGCGGACCGTTCAAGTCGAATTTGTATTTGACTTGAAAAATAAAATGATAGATTGAATGATTGATTGATTGAGCAGCGCTGACAATCTTCGTGTAATTGTCCGCGACCTAGTCCGGGAAGAGCTCAGGAAGCTGCTGCCTACTGCCAACCAGCCGGCTTCGCTATCGATAGCCGAGTGGTACGCGAAGAAGTTCCGCGGGAATTTCAACCGGAGACTCCCGCCAGCGTGGCCGCAGCCGATGAGCCGACAGTGACCTACGCCACAGTGGCCCGACGACCGCCGCCAACTGTTCAACATTACCCGGTGGCGCCACAACGAGACCCACCAATGCAGGCGTACCCCCGACTCAACGACGAAGTACGTCATTACGACCGCCGAGAGCAGCCGGCGCCAAGGAAAACCGACGTGTGGAGGACAGCGGATCGACGACCCATCTGCTACCACTGCGGGGAGTCCGACCATATCTGCTGCCGTTGCCCTTACCGGCAAATAGGCCTGCGTGCGTTCCACCCGAACGACCCACGCCCGAGGTACGGCGAACGCCCTCGCGACATCGAGGAGTGCCTCCAACGCTCGCCCTCCCCAGTGTCGTCTCTCCGCCGTGAAGCCCGCTCCCCATCGCCACGACGTTCAGCGTCCCCATTGTCACGACCCCGCCGAAAAAGCGTGTCTCCCCTGCGTCGCCGGGAAAACTAAGTGCGGCAACGCCTGGAGGTGGCGTTGCCGAAGACGACCATAGTAAAGAGCCTCCATAAGAACGACTGAGCGCTCCCACTCTTTCGACGCTACGGATCACAACGACATCCCTGCATCGGTGTCCAACAACCTAAACGTTATAATCGACGGCCACGACTCATCGGTACTTGTGGACACCGCAGCAGACTACTCAGTCTTGAGTGGGAGGCTCTCTCGCCGCCTGCGAAAAGTCATGACGCCGTGGGATGGACCCCAAATACGAACCGCCGGAGGACATCTCATCACGCCAGTCGGGAGATGCACTGCTCGCGTCGAGATCCACGGTGAAACGTGCCCTGTGAAGTTCGTCGTTCTGCAAGACTGTTCGAGGGACGTTATCCTCGGAATGGACTTTCTCTGCGAGTATGGCGCCGTCCTCAACCTCGGGGCAAACCAGTTGACGCTGCGAAAACCTGTTTTACCGCCGGTGGAGACCAACACAACGTCAACCGCGATCCGAGTTATCGCCGACCATGTGAACCTACCGCCGCAGTCGAGTGTTTTCGTCACCGTTATCACCGACGCAGCCATGCACGGTGAAGCTCTTCTGGAAGGCAGCTTCCAACTGCTCCTCGAAAAAGGAATTGGTGTCGCAAGAGGCGTAACGGATCTCCAAGAAAGACGTACAACTGTTCTTGAGACGAACTTTCGAGAGGAGCCGCAGCACCTAACGAAAGGTACCACCGTGGGCCACGTCGAGGAGCTTCAGGTGCCACCACCACCGTCAGCCGTCACTGCCTCGGAGATTGCGGTGGTCACCGCAGGCTCCGAGGAAACCTCGTCGCCACAGC